TTCAAATCTCTGTAACAGGGTGAAGGAGGATTCAAGGCCAAAACATTGTGTTTATTTGCTATTTCTTCACATTTTTTACATAAAATGTAATTCACCTCTACTTCCTCCCGTGCGGTTGGATTTCTTGGTTCGACCCTGGCCTGGGCATCTTTCTGTGTGGAGTTCACATGTCCTCTCTGTATTCAGCACAAAACATATTCATAAATCTAGCCCGGCATCAGCAGAGAAAAGTCAGCACAGCTTATATCTTAACCATACTGCTGTTCTGTGTGTTCTTTTAAGCTCATATTGTGACCTACACACGTAAGTGGGGCAGTTTGGAGGACAATGTCCTTTTTTATTTTGTATCCTGGCAAAAGTACAGCGCCTATCCCAGTTTGCCCTCTCCTTCTCTGGTTGGACGGTCTGAAAGCCTCTGCGGTCCCACCCTGAGGGTAGGCCAGGCAACCGATTTCCCAATTTAGGCCTTTCCTTAGCAACACCAACCTAGTTGCCGGTTGCTAAGCGTCCCCCGGTGTTGGTGACTTATTTTTAGCTCCAGGTGCATCAGTGCGTCCTCCCCAGGAAGGTGGAACTCGTGTGCTCTATCACTGAGACACAGGCGTCCACAGTGAGCCTGTCTGTCAGGAGCTGCCCCCTTTTCCCAAGCACGAAACGATTGCTTTTTTCCTCTATTGCAATGCTACTGTAGCAATTCCTCCCCCCCTCTTCCTTACTCCCTCCCCATCTGCCCCTGTGGAGAAGATGAATTCAGAATGAAAGCAGGCATAATCTGCAGAAGGTTAGGGTGCCACCAGAAAAAAATATAATGAAGTTGTGTATTTTGTTCCTCATTTTCCTTTACCGGTTACTTTTTCATTAAAAATCTATTTTTAGCCACACATTCTTGTTTTAAACAGGCACACAGCTCAGAATGACAGTTCTGGAGAGATTGAGTGCACTCGAGAGTACTTGTGCAGTGCGCTAGTTCGCAGATTGGTTCGGTTCTCTCTTTAAGGGGTTACAACCTGCAAACAAATTTTAAAAAACACATTTCTCTCTTGTTTTACCTGCCATACACATTTGTGTTCTTCAGCATGTGGGATATTATAGTTTTCCTTAAAAATGTTTCCTAAAAATGGAATTGCGTACTGTTTTCCAACATGTTTTGTAGGCTAGCATTTCTTACTCCAGACTCAGGCTGCTAGAATCAGCCATTTTGATGTTAAATAACATTGATAATACTGTAGTTTATCCGAAAAAAAATGTTTTATAGCCCCAAAGGGACCTCCCTTTCATGTTTGTCTGCCAAGCAAAACAGTTTCAATTTCTGTTTTCATCAAAACCATTTTAAGCAAAATTCCAAATTAGATTAAGAATAAAAGTAAATAGGTATAGACGCGAAAGTAACAAATAATAAAGTAACAAATCTCTACAGTATTTACGAGAACCCAGCCACTGGAAATACAAAGTTATAACACAACACAGTCATCAGAGTCCACAGGGAGTTCTTGATTTCCATTTAAGTGGATTTAAAAGCTTAATACAAGTTCATGTAGTTTTTATTTCTGTGTTATCTTGTATCCTAAAGACACGAATGAGAAACTGGGAACTGTTAAAATGTTAGACAGATACAAAATTACAAGCTACTTTACCTGTGGACATTTAAAGAAATATATCTGTTTTTCACCTGAAATATTGTACTGTCACATGCTTAACATGAAGACTCAGGCAGAGTTCAGTTCAGATTCGGTGAAAGTGCAGTAATGTGATATTTGCACACTGTGGTAAAGTTACTGCACATCTGGCACACCTGGCAGTACACTGTATGTACTGTGAGATGTGCCCTCTTATTGATACCATTGGACTAACAGAGGCAGCTGCTGTATCCAGGCATCCTCAGCAGCAAGGTCCTCAGCTCTCCAGTCGTGGGACTGACCCGCTGCAGGAGACACTTACAAAACCACGGAGATCCCCCCAGACCTCTGCGCTCCGTGGCCCTCCCTCTGCACAGCACAGCTCACAGCGGTTTCTCCTGCGCTGCGTCATTTCAGGCCTTTGTTCTCTGCCGGGGAGCAGAGCTTTCAAAAGCAGAGCCAAGGCTGTGGCTCGCAGAGTCTGTAAAATTCGTTGGAAAGCTTCGCCGTAGAAAAGCCACCTGTATTCGCTGAACTGGGTGGTCGCATAAAGGAAGAGGAAACTCCGAAAGGCAAATCGAAAAACTGATTTCACTGTTCTCGAGTCTGAATCAGAAGAAGAATAAAATACCCCACTGGAGCTCACTGCCTGCAGAATGGAAATCCCATTACTGGAGCTGGAGCTGAAAACGCAGGCTTGTGACTGCCACAACCTAGGATCTATAGGATGGCAGCGGTCCAACCAGGTATACTCATCACTGACACTGTCCGACACACTCACACAACACTGCAGCTTCCCACTTGCTGTTGCAGTGCAGCAGTAGTTTTTTTTTAGTTTGTTTAAAACAGTTTAAAAAGTTATTAAAATGTAAAAAAACTTTAAAGTGTGGCAAACTGAAATGTGGCAGACTGACGTTTTTCCCGCAGTCAGCTGTCGTGACTCTGTGCCGGTGGCCCTATAACACAGCAGATCAGGAAGAAGAGTGAGAAACTGATTTGAATGAAGGGGGGGAAATGACCAGGCCCAATACTATCAGCTCCAAGTGGCATTTAGCCAGGACACTGGGACTGATACCCCCATGCTGTAGGATTTGTGATGACCAAGTAATCAAGTCCTCAGTTTAACATCTAATTAGAAGGCCAGCACCTTCTACAGCGCAGTGTCCCAGATCACCATCCTGGGGCACTGGCTTGGAAATTCCAGTCCAGAGGGAGGATCGCCACGTACTGGTCTGCACCACTTACTGCGGCAACCTGGGACTCCTCAGAGATCTCCCACTTCTGGTCTTGCCTAGCTTCTGAGATCTGACAAGATCAGGCAACAGGGTCAGAACGCCGCTGTTATTATGAAGGCCGAAGCACGCTCGTGTTTAAGCTGGAAAGGTCCTGGGTTTGATCTAAATAGGGTTGGGTGAGTTGGCACGAGTTTTACAGGGTTTGTGTGGTGCTGCGGGCTATTACAGCGAGAAGCAGACTCCATTCAAGCTTCTGATTATTCGGGATTTGGCCTGGAAAGTTGAACAGCTGTCAAGAAGAACGCCCTTAAACTTTGACCAACTCCACCAAGCCTGGCCGCTCTGACGCTCGCAAACTACAACCCCAGTACTTGATGGGGGCCATCTGTTGGCTGGAGTTTGCTCCGTCTCACTGATGGAGACCCGTCATCGGGTGTTGGGCCTTGCAGTTTGTGCTTGCCCAGTGGGTCAAAGTTTTGATTTCAGCCACACCTAGGAGCGGGTGAAATCAAGCCATCTGTGCAGTGTGACACGTTGGACAGAGTGAGAACAGGTACACTGTGCCAGGATTGAATCCTCCCCCGGGTGTCTGGCAGTGCTCTACGGATTGTTCTGATTGACAGCTCTGTAAGCCAGAAGAGATGTAAACCTATGATATAGAAAAGTGTAAATGAGTTTCTTTCGACAGGCTCCCCTGTAGATGCGCTGACTATGGTGCCACTTCTTCCTTGAGACTCCGCAGGAAGTTTGTAATCAATTTCTTTGCCTCCCAGAGTGAGAAAACCCATTTTTAACTCGAGTAGTGCCCTCTGATCCTTACCACCTGAACAGGTGCCCTGGGTAAAAAAAAGGTCTGGACTGACAGGGAGGTCAGAGGTCAGGGGGTCAGGGGTCAGTGAAACCTCAACTTCATTCAGCCTCCTGGCCTCCACGGAGTCCGACAAAGGAGAAGGAGGTGTACTAAACAAAAAGAAAGACGGCATGTACAGTAGGATTGATCACCAAGATCTATATTCTGGTCAAATGGGGTCTCTTCATCTATCCTTACTACATACTACAGGTGCGCTTTTAAAGTGTGGTCATGTGTGGTATTACAGTGTGGTTTGGCAGCAGCTCGTTGTCTGACCGGAAGGCATTACAGAGGGTGATCAGGTCAGCCCAGTCCATCACTGGAGTACAGTTCCCCTCTACTGTGAACATTTTTACAACTCGCTGTCTCAGGAAGGCTGGAAGTACTTCTAAGGATACCAGTCATCCTGGTTTCTCACTTTTTTCTCCCCTTCCCTCTGGTATGTGTTACAGAAACATAAAGGCACAAACTTCCAAATTCAGAGACAGTTTCTTCCCACAGGCCGTCAGATTACTGAACTCTACCCCCACCACTGACTGACACTGATGGGTTGCTTTTTCTTCTCAAACTGCTGTCTGACTGCTTTTTTTAAAGTTGTATGTTATTTAACTTGTTGTTCCTGCTGTTCTGTGTTTATATTTTGGTGATTCCATAATGTCTCTGTATCAGAGCATACATGCAAATAAGCATTTCATTGCAGTTGTGCATATGACAAATAAACTGAACTGAATCATGGCTATAACATTGGCTGACATTATATAAAATAAGATCACTTTATTAGCCCTATACAATTTGTTGCATTAGGAATTTGTCTTTTCGCATACCCCAGCTTTCACTTCCTGAGACATACAGTACAGTCACACAAACAGGGAGAGAAGCTTGGAGTCAGAGCGCAGGGTCAGCCATTGTACAGCGCCCCTGGAGCAGTTGGGGTTAAGGGCCTTGCTCAGGGGCCCAACGGAGTAGGATTCCTCTGCCGGCCGCGGGATTTGAACCGGCAACCTTCCAGTCACAGGTGCAGATCCTTAGCCACAGGGCCACTGCTCCGCCCCATTTTTCTTTTTATAAGTCATCAATCAAGGGTATGAGGAGGTTCGGGAATCAACACCACACCTGCAACTGAAAGGACATTCTAGGAAGAAGGATCCTCTTTCCTAAATATTCCAGTTTGTTGTTCGGGAGCTGCCGTCTTGACTGTGGCAGTGAAATGGGGATGTTGTCCTCTACAGCCGGGTTGCTGGTGTGCCGGTGCAGACTCGACACGCCTCAGCCCCGGCGCCTCTTCCCTCTGTCCTGCAGGTGCCGCGGAGTCGGGAGCAGCAGAGGGAGACGACGCCTCCGCGCCGGAGCAGTGAGGCCGGCGGACCGCCAAGGAGCAGGCGGCTGGAGACGAGCGCGGCGGGCCTCCTTCCCTGACAAGACTCCTTTTTTCGTAGAGAGAAACTTTCAACACTTAATTACTGCTAGAACTTCATAGATTTGGAAATATTTTATCCGATGGGTGAACTCTTCCTCCCCCCCCCCCCCCACCCCCCACTTTCCTGCTTCCTGTTGAACAAGTGTAAATGTCTGTAACTTAAAAAAAGGCAGCAGTTCTTGTTTCCATTGCACGTCATGCGCAGTCCTGTTGTGATGTCATGGTGGAGCACCCTGTGTGGATATTGATGGAACCGGGTGCCCTGTCTGCAAGACTCTATTCATTCGCTCCTCCAAAAACCTTTCAGGTTTTGCTTTGTTTCCACTTCCCTTCTTAAATGGAATTCACCCTCTAATTTGCTTTGCAAAGCTTTGCTTTAACGTGGTCTGGAATGAGCATGCATTTCTGTATACAAACAGTGTAGACTTTGCCTTCCTGCTTCGTTGCCCAAAGCATTTCCTCTCCCTACTGCTTGATCTCACAAATGGCTGTCATCCTTTGTTCACTCTGGGTCTTTCAGATTCAAGTTTCTTACATCTGTAGGAAAGATAAAATATTTGAGATGCATTAACCTTTATTATACTCCTCAAAACACAGACAAGCAATCAGTCTCTAGGCAACCATAGAGCTTAATGGATCATACTCATTTTTCGGCTCTTTTATTCCTGATTTATTGTGTCTCCCTCCTGTCGTCCCCTTCCTCTTCAGCTAGCAAGTCTCAGTCAAACTGAGCCTTCCAGTGTGAGCAGTTCTGACAGCACCCTGAGGAAAAGAGGAAGTGGTCACACTTACCAGCAGTGCAGTGCACACCCGATTCACCTCCCATATGCACTTCCTGGGGCACGGGGGGGATATTCCAGAGGGGACACACAGCGGACCTAGCAGCTGAGAGGAGGTCCATCAGCCCAGCCTCCCAGCCCTGCTCTCTGAGCCGATACTGTGGTTTCCTTCGAGAGACAGCTGGTCTGCAGGTACAGCCTCGGGTCCCCGTTAGCTGACCGGGGTCCCCTTAAGCAGAACTGAGATCCTCAAACCAATTAGCTACTAAAAACCAAAAGAGTTAGGTGGGCCAATTGGCTTCCTCTCATCTGTGACATTTCTCATTGTGCAATTTTAACATAACGTCCTTTGATTTTACATTCCACACACCTTTGTTCTCCCTGCCCTACGATGTCTTGAATATGTGAATGACGCGTCAGCATAGTTTGCACTTGTGTCCACTGGTTCATGTTTTGGTTTTGACTTTGTCTGTGCCTTTAAGGATCTTGAAGACTTTCCATCAGGTGCCCTAATAGTCCTTTCTGTTCAAGGCGAGAAAGGTTCAGTTCTTTTAGCCTGTTGGTGTAGGACATACCGTTAACCCGAAGAATGTACGTGCATTGGCACAATTATCCCATAAAGTACATCACCCCCAGGAAATCGTTAAATTCCTGGCAAAAGTGAATGGCATTATAAAGACAATGACTGTTTTAGGTAAAGAATAAGCATATGCCGTCCGGTAGAGAATGTGCCCCATGACTTCTTTCTAATGTGTTTGTTTGTTCTTGTTTTGATTGAGTCTCATTATCGCTTTATTTTGCATCTGCACGAACTTGCTTTGGCGTTTTGTTTTATGCTCGCAGGCAAGGGAATAAAAGTTGTGTATCAGGTTTTTCACTAAGGCATGTGGGAACCAGGAAAGTGGATTTTGTTAGTGATTTTGTCTTTGGATGTGAACGTTCAAATAATTGGTTTCCTTCTCCTTTTCCAGCAGGTGGATGAGAATGCCAGTGTATTACGTGGTATAGACTGCGTGCATTAGCATGCTGCATGTAAAATCCCCACCTAGGCAGACAGTTGTCTGTCGCAACCCCTGTAAAGAGGTTACATCTGTAAAGACTTGAATCGAGTACTAATTAAACCTGACATTTTAAACACTTTGTCGATTTCTTGATCGCTTAGGCAGCACTGTGGAACAGTGATTAGGGCTCTGGACTTGGTAACTGGAAAGTTGTGTTTAAATCATAATTTGATCCATTACTTTTGATGGCAGATTTTCATTGGGTTGAAGCAAGAGTCCGGACCTTGGTTGTAAACATGTTAATTAGGTATTTATTGTGCCTCAGCCAGCCCTTCAGAGCAAAGCAGTTGAATGAGCAAGAGAAAGGCATGTTTTGTTCCATGAATGATATCTGGAGTGCTTGTCTGTGGCAGTACCTTATAAGCACTGTCTAATAATGACACTCAGATCTGCCTCAGTCATTACATTGCATTGTTTCAACAGACATCATCAAGCAGCGCACATTTCTGTGAAGTGTTGCAGAAGAGCATGAAACCAAGAGAGGATGGCTCCGCGTTAATGAGCTCTGCAGATGGTAGTAACACAAGCTGCCAGTGTTGTCAGGGTTCCAGTGAAACACCTACAGAATTATAGTATTTGTATTCAACACCTGTTCTGTTGCAACAAGAGATAGAATAATCACCAAACACATCGTTTTTTATATTATTTCCATGTCTCACTGAAAAGAGAGGCTAGCACCTAATTAATTAACTGAGCTCCACAAGGATCTGAAGAAGTTACGTACTTCATATGATTACTTTTGAGAAAGTTGCACTAGTGCCCTGCACCTGGCATATCTTCTAATAGCACACTTAATTGGAAAGATATATGTTCCCCTGTTAAGAGTTTGGAGAGTAATTTATTTCTACCGAATGTGTAGTCAGATTGTTATTGTTATTTTTCCTGGACACAGAGCTTATCTAATTAATCTTGCAGAAAGTGCATGGGAAATGTGTCCAAGGCTCCAACAAGCTTTCACTGCGTTAACACCTGATGCCATGTCATGTGCAGCTCAGTTCATCAGGTTACAGGTTGCCACAGTCTGACAGTGCACCACTGTAGTTGGAAGGTGCTGACAGAGGTTTCTGGAAGACGTTTCATTCTGCTCACCCTGTTTCTTGAGGAGCTCAGATATGGTGTCCCATTGACACCTGAAGAAATTGAATGCACTTCTGGGTCGCATAAAACAGCTCATTTTATTGTGGCAGTACCCAGTTGAGGTTATTTGTTTTTTTAAGGAGCAGGATTTTTCTTGTGTCCCATTGTGTAAAGGAGTACTTTCTGACAGAAAAGGTGACTCTTCCATTGCGCAAAGTGACAAGGAATTTCTAGTTATTTTGAAAAATTTGAGAAGATGAGCATCTCAAACTACTATCTTGTCTCTAAATATCCTAGTGAATATGGAGTCATATGCTTAGTCTAGTGATAATTGACGGCTTGAAAACAGCCATTCATTAGCAATCTATAGGACTATCATCATGTCACAAATGTTCTAATAGAGTTGTTGGAACACAGTTTAAGCTTACAGCGCAATTCAGTCAAAGCCTGGAGTTCTCTGACTCACACTTCTACCCCTGCTAAATTATTCATGTCAGTTTCTAAATATTTTTAGCCTGCCTGCTTTAATGCATATAAGGATGGTGCTATAATATATCCTACCATACTAAGGGCATGGTAAAATTCATCTTAAGCTCTGTAAACTCCAGTGCGCTTTTAGGCTTTATTATCGAAGCGTTAAACACATTTCACTCAAAAAAGAAAAAAAAAATCAATCCCTGCCCACAAGCTGTATTCCCTCGCCACTGTCTGATATCCCCATGCGGCTGCCTCCGCCTTAATTACACTGCTGCGGTCCGCATGGAGCAGTGGGAAGTGGAGCGCATGGTAAAATGTGGGTTAGTCGTCTTCACTCCGCTCGTCTCCGGGCGGCTCTGCTCTCGTTTCTGCCGCAGTCTTCCTCGCGGTCAGCAGAGGGAGACTGGAGCCTGATCGCTAGTGCACGTCAGGGAGGGTGTCGAAATGAATGCTCAGGCCACAGCAGAGTTCTAACAGCTGGCAATGGTATAGGTTCATTGGGGCTCTAGATAGGGTACTGGGGAGGTGGCCTTGCTCTGTGCCCACCTGTGTATGGCCCTTTGCGATGTGCATCCACACTCTCTTCCCACTGAAGCACCGTTCTGATGCCTTGGATAAGGTAAGGATGTTTTCTTCATGTGCCATTATATCTTCCTAGCTCTTGTGAGAATATCCTTCAGACATTACATTTTTTTTTAATCCGTCCCCTTCAGTCTTGCTGAGAACTGGAAGAAGGTTTTTGTTGCTACTGATATGACATTAAAGTACAAAGCAACCGAGGCATTCTATCCTTTGTATCTGGAAGCATAATAATGCAAGATAAAACCCTGAATGACTATAAATACATCTCAACAAACCTACTTTGATGGAGAAATCTAATTATATTTGTAATTTATGTAATAGATACCAATACCATACCATGCATTCATATGTAGCTACATACCTGTATCTATATACTACATACAATAAACAAAGTTTAACATTGCATTCACAGCATTTTCGCACTTTCATACAGTGACTGCACTCTAATAACATTATATATTATATATATAAACACCATCAAAAACAAAAATACTATTATTATTTTAATCATTGTTATTGATTAGGGACTTTCTAGAAAGGTTTTACCACACTCCTGAAAAAGAATGCAATGTTTTAATCTTAAGTTATAGTCTTAGTTTAAACTATAAAGATTAAATATAGAATTTAAAGTGTTAATGAGATAACAGACCCCGTGACTCATGTGGGTGTTTTTAGCTGAATGGACTGGTAATATTAGAATATGCTGTGTTTTACCCCCTGTGAGCTAATAATGAGGCATATTAAATTTCACACGCTCAATCGATGATTTTCATGCGTTGATAAAAGCTTAGTTGGTAAAAGCATTTTACTACTACAGTTGTCTGAAGATCAAGCTAGTTTTATCTTGTTGCAATGCAGACCGCCTTTTCTAACGCATTGGCTGACATTAGATTCTCTCTTTGGTGTCTGAGTTTTCCACCACCTTATTCCCAACAACTCCATCAACAGGCAGCACTGGTTTTGCTCAATCCCCTTTTTAAAAGGTGGTCTAAATTGTTCATTTTATTTCCCCTGTTAGGGCATGCCAGGCAGGCCAAGTGAATGAAAATGTTAAGTGATTCCTAAGTAGCAAAGAAGTGTTTGTTTTCCATTGGGATGATGGGCATTGATGGAAAGGGCAAACGTCCTCACGTGAAGTTCTCACATGGTGAAGTGTGTGGGCCAGCGCCTTGTGCTCCTAAGCAGCTCCTGAAATCAATCATGTCTGCAGGGAACAGTGGCTTCCAAGTTTAGAGCAGAGTGAGGGTCTGGGGTGATGGTCAGATTCCACAAAGCAGCTTTCTCCCACACGCACGGCTCCACGGAGCCTGCTGGACAGCCCAGACCTTCAGGGCCATAGCCTTGAGGGCCACAGCTACACTTGAGGGCCACAGCCACTGACAGCTGGCCTTGAGGGCCACAGCTGGAATTGAGGGCCCCAGGCGCTGACAGCTGGCCACGAGGGCCACAGCTGGACTTGATGGCCCCAGTTGGCCCGGGGAGCAATTAGCTGCAAAGGATGGCACACCTGTGGCTTTCGATCAAGCTGTAAAATAAATGCCTGTTGGGCACAAGCTCACAAACCCTTTACAAATGGACACTAAAACAGAAAAGCAAAAGTCGTAACTGTGAATTCTGATGCCTACGCGCGACACTAAATGACCATGATTCTAATAAACTGTTGGTTCAGGAGAGCCGTTTCAGCCTACCAGTCTGCTGTGAACATGATTGCCTCTAGTTAATTTCATGGTACAAATGTGGCTATTTGTACATTGAGATTTAATGTACTGTAGCATCAGGGCTTAATGGTTAAAGAACTTCTTTCTGAGACAGCTTTCTTAAAATGCCGATCTTGCATGAAAATGAATGAAGTCATTAAATGGTTTTGAGCAAAAGTGGCTCATAGATGAGCATTGAGGAAAGAAAATCACACAACCAATAAGCTCAACCACAGTAGCTGGAAGTTTCCTTTCGTAGTTGTTTAAAGTGTTTATTTTAAAAGGCAGAGAAACAAAATTGTGTATGATCTCATTTGTGATATTTATGTTTCTTCCACATTTTTACTTTATGTTGCTCCGAATGCAGATGCATTTTAACCATGTTCCTCTATCAGAGTCCCACACCTAAAAACCATAGAGAATAAAATTGATTAAGTGATAAAAAATGGAAATAATGATAGTTCTGTTGATGTGTATTGAATATAGTGTTATGATTAGGATATTGTTCTTTTGCTTTGCATCATTTATTAGGATTGCATTCTAAAACTTTTTAAACTATGATTATTTTTAAGTATAATCTTACAGCTATTGTCAGATTGATATCTCATTCTGGTATTTCATTTTTCTGTCTCCAAATGAGCCATTTTTGAAAAGAATTGTTTCTGCATTATTTCCTGTCACATTTTATTTTTTGCAATCATACTGGAAAGACTTGTTTCCACTCTGTTCAGATATTTCTCTTTAAAAAATGTGTCCAACAAGAAATATTCTTCTACAGCTTTATCTCTGGGCAACACATTAAAACAGAAGTCTCCAACCCTGGTCCCCTGTCCAGTTAGTACAGTCCTGGCCCTGGAGAGCCCCAGTCCAGTTAGTACAGGGGTCCCCAGCCCTGGTCCTGGTCCTGGAGAGCCCCAAATTCAGGTAATCTATAGGTCACCCTATTCTAAAGAGTGACAACACCTGTGAAGCTGATGAGTCTGTTCAGCAAAGTCAGCTAAGATCCCTTAGCAATGAAGTTCTTGTTCTTCCAACTCTTCCAGTAAGGCTGAGTGGTAAAGCCATAGTAAGGTGTGGAGACTGATCACCCTCAGTACAGGAGTCATGCCAATGAAACCATGGTGCCAAGGGAGGTGTTATAAAACCTCGCCAAGCTGCCACAGTCAACGTTTGAGAGGCCGCTGACTTGAGATCACACCACCCATCCCACCCCCCAGCATGTGGTACTCCATGTGTTCCAGTTCGTAAGGAAACACCCGGGTGAATTTAAAAGGACACGCAGCATTCCAGCCCACACGCCGCCCACACGCCATCACACACACGCGTTCCGCGCGCCGCGGTGCCTGGGCGGCGGTGGCCGGGGGCCCTGCCCTCCTCGCCGGGGAGAACACGGGCCCCAGGATCGCTGCCGGTGGTTTCCACGGCAACGCGCAGGCAGGGGAGAGGAGCTCTGAGCTCTGCTGTCTCTGGATTCGTCCTCTTGACGAGGGAAAGAGTGGGAGGGAGGCAGCACATCGTGGCAGAGGCAGACTTTACTGAGAGGAGCGATGCCAGCTAACCTTCCCAGCCGGCTGCCAGGGCTGCTCCTCACTGATGATGATACATACTGCAGTAACTGTTCTTAGACTGGCTGAGTTTTATCTGCTCATGCCTCTTTTGGACCACATCTCCAGCGTCATACAGTATACTGTACATCAACACTGTTAAACGTGCTCTGAGGAGGGTGTGACTCCCAGCTCCGATCTGTCAGATGGTCAAATCTTTGATCGAAGTGCAGAAAGAATATTTCACAGGCTATGTTTTGTTGTTTATTTGTGGTGTATTAAGTAATATTCTTTGAATCAATTCTCTATTCGTAGTAGACTGGGTAAAAGTTACCATTGAACACTGCTATAGTTCTTACACAACGATTATGAAACGTGGTACTTATTAACCGATGAAACTTCAATCCAGCCTACAGTTTACCTGTTTTTACACAGCCGCAGTGAGAGCACACAGGGAAACGATTTTCCAGAGCAGAGCCCAGAATCCCTCTGTGGGTGGAGAAATGTGTTCAGAAAGTGCATTGTATTCATGTAGCTGACAGAATAAGGAGTTTGTACAGTGGAGTGCCACGGATTTAAAGGTAGCTTAACAAAGTAACTATAAAAGTACTGAGCCGTGCAGTAAGAAGAGTAGCCTAATAATGGTGGAGATAGTCTGACATAACCCACTGAATTAAGGACAATGCTACGGAATAGTCTGTGATCTCTAACCTTGGTCCTGAACAGGCCCATTTCATGGTTTTACAGGAAGCCATTACATCATCCATTTCTAAAGACCTAGAACAATGGGGTTCGATTATAAACAGAAATGTAGCTAAACTATAGAAATTTAGAGGAACAAGTACACCTGAAGTGGACACCTGAAGAAGGCTCCACGGCTGAAACGTTGTGTTTTCTTTCTTCTTTTTTTCAGCATGGAATAAACCTATTACTTGTTCCTTTGCAGCTACCCACCTGAACTACAATAGAAATTTAGAGCTTATTTATAAAAAATAGAATGTCCTTCAGCCACTAATGGGACAGAGTTTACTTAACTGAGTAACTTTTTTGCTTAATCGACAAGTCACCTCCAACCGCTGCAAATCTAAAAGAGCAGGCGGTGTAAGGTCACTGGTAAGGTCAGGATTGGGGCTCACCACTCCAGGGCAGGTTGGAGAGCCCAGCTGTAAGGCATCTGTTTCTACTTTCTGACTGGAATGTAGCTTGCCAAGTACTGTATTTATTCCCGAGTGCCGAATACATGCCTTACTGGTGATACACGAGCGGTACTGCTTTGTGACATATTGCTGACAGAAGTTAATAAGTGCTAAGCCAGCCTGCATACAGGGGTTGTCTGTTAAGACCTAGTGTTATAGTTTCCCATAATGAGATACATGGTAGTACATTGGTTAGCATTGCTGCCTTGCAGCACTATGGCCCTGGGTTCATTTCCTGGGCTCCTATCTGTGTGGAGAATAGCAAATGAAGCATAGTTCAAGAATTCACAGCTTATCCATACTCATAGGCATGAACATACTGTATGGATATTCCTGTTCACATGAGGCTTGGCTGTTTTGGTAAGATTCTCTTTTTGTAGTTGAAGGCTGCAGTGGTTACTCACCGAGGTGGGCGATCCCTGCAGTGTGCTCACATCCTGACGAAATCGGGTTATCCTCTGCAAACAGAATTAAGGAGATAAGTGCAGCTGGCTTTTCGAACCACAGAATCTGCTCACGTTTACTGGGCAGAAATTGTTATAGCTCGTGATGCATGGGCCCTTCCTACAGTGCTAGAGCTGTCTTCCCTGCTGCATCTCTGAGGAATGGATGGTGTGATACCCATGTAGTTTTCAAAGCTTTCACCTTCACAGCATTAACCAAACCCCGCTTTTGTGCAGGGCTTTTCAAACCCCCATCCACCAGTGGAATTACAAACTCAGATTTCAAACCTCAATAGCTTTCCTGAGGTTTCCTAAGTGTGATGAACCTGAGCAGCACAGCTGGTTCAGTTTGAAGTGACACAAGTTAATTCAGCCTGTAAATCCTGCTAGGGCCCGCTAAAGTTGCCCTTGTCTGAGGTTAGTGGTGGGCAATTCAACAGGACACTAAGCAAGCCATTCAGAGGGAACAGGATTTTTCTGGGAAAAATCAGAGGAGAGACAGTGCTGATCACAGGACAGTTCATAGACAGGGACTCCAGGTGTGGTGGCAGCCAGCCTTGGGTGAACACAAGTGAAGTGGGAAAAGGACCCTGCCGACCCCGGTACACACTGGTCTGGGTACAGAGCGGCTCAGCTGCTTTGAAGAAGGGAAAGTCTTGCCCTGCCTTCGGTTCCTCTAGAAGTCGGGAGGTTGGAAATTGTGGTGGGAGCAGCACCATCGTTCGAGTCTCCCTCATCACCCATCACGGTGTTGTTTCCGTCTGTAAAACAAGAACACGAGAGGTTACAAACGCGAGGAGGTCTTCCAAATGGCTTCTTGTTCCATTCTCCCACAATTCTTTGTGTAAAGAAGTGTGTCCTCTAGAGTAGTTTTCTCTTGTAGTTGTCGCCCACTTGTAATACAATAATTCATTTCTAAAAAGCCACTTTTAGCCAGGGGAAACAAATCTGATGGCATCCTCTGAAAGACACGAGTTGGCCTTCCTGCTTACCTGACTTGGTGTTATTGATCTCGGTGCCGTTGCTGTTTCCTGTATCTATAGTTCCAGTGCCTTTGCGTTTTGTTTGTCTTTCTGTAGATACAGAAATTTACGAATCAATCATCCTGTAAGAGCATGTGTAGGTCGCTGTGTATAGAACCGCCTTATCTGATTAAGAGTCAGATTGTAGGCTGTAGCAATTAAGAGCCATGCCTTGTGTTGGAAAGTGCTGTGTTTAATTGATTTAATTCCTGGTTAACTACCTGTTTAAGAGTCATTACCCTGGTCTCCCCCTCATTTCAAAGGCTCATTTTTGACTGTATTTTCCTGAACGCTGTGGCATGGAAATCAGAGCTGATAATGGAGCTGGCTGCTTTTGTCAGCTCCTTCCCTTTCTGGATCTTGATCCTGCATTTGTGAAAGTTATTTTTTATTTGTTTTCAGCTGCTGACAGTTCTCACTTCTTTTCCTATTTCCTGCTTGTCAAAAACAACAGCATGCTGTAGAGCAGAAAATCTTTCATAGAGATTTGACTTCATTTGTTTGCTAGCTGGCTTGAGCTTTTTTTTCATTTAGTTTGTTGTGTCTTGTTGCTGAGCTGACTTTTTTTTTCTGTGTACAGGATGTGAAACTTCCCTGCAAGATTTTCCACTCCTCAGTGTCTTCACTGACATTGCTAGGAACGTGTCCTCCTAATCCCTTTAACTCTGTAGC